ACAACCTCCTTTCAGGTAGTTGTAGAGAGTGATAAGGTCTCCCTTCAGCCTTCTCTTCTCCAGACTAAACAAACCCATGTCCCCCAGCCGCTCCTCACAAGACCTGTTCTCCAGACCCTTCACCAGCTTCGTTGCCCTTCTCTGGACACACTCCAGCACCTCAGTGTCCTTCTTGCAGTGAGGGGCCCAAAACTGCACACAGTATTCGAGGTGTGGTCTCACCAGTGCCAAGTACAGGGGCACGATCACTTCCCTACTCCTGCTGGCCACATTATTTCTGATACAGGCCAGGATGCTGTTGGCCTTCGTGGCCACCTGGGCACACTGCCGGCTCATGTTCAGATGGCTGACGACCACCAACACCCCCAGGTCCTTTTCTGCCAGGCAGCTTTCCAGCCACTCACCTCTAAGCCTGTAGCTCTGCATGGGGTTGTTGTGACCCAAGTGCAGGACAGGGCACGTGGCTTGTTAAACCCCATACAACTGGCCTTGGCTCATCGATCCAGCCTGTCCAAATCCCTCAGTAGAGCCTTTCTACCTTCAAGCAGATCAACACTCCTGCCCAACTTGGTGTTGTCTGCAAACTTACTGAGAGTGCACTCGATCCCCTCATGCAGATCATTGATTAAGATACTAAACAGAATTGGCCCCAGTACTGAGCCCTGGGTGGTGCAGGAAGGAGACAGCTGGGCAGTGAGTCACACTGCTGATGTTGACACCATTCAGCTCAAGAATATGGTCCCCAGGTGCTATTCTTCCATCTGCAGCAGTGACAGAATCCTGCAAGACTTCATGAACAACAATGTTTCTTAGTGGAGAGTCTTTACGCCCCGCTGTCCTCATCCTCAACTCTCCTGCAGGACTTCTTGGTGAATTTAGATGGTGTTCATTTCAGCCGTAAGACTAACTCTCAGAGGAAGGTCTTCTTCAGTCTCCTCAAAAGATGGATTAGCCAGTCCAGGCTCTGCAGTCCCTAGTGATACCACAGCAGCTGCAGAGCTTTCTACTACAAGTGATGATCTTCCAATTGGTACCTCTGGATCCTTGGGTGTATTTGTCTCCACCTTGGTAGGGGGAAGCGATTCTTTTTCTGGTGTAGTTCAGATTTGTATTTCTTGAAACCAGGACACGTGTTCTGCAGATGAGCTTCAAGTTCTCATTGTCTGCTGACACTCTGCCTTGAAAGGACAAGACAATCAGCTTATCCAACAGATTTCATACTAGAAGGCTGGACTTGTGGCACTGCTTGGAAAGAGCTTATTCCAACCCACAGGACAAAAGTTATACTCTGGCATGGTTTTCAAGGCATTTGAAACAATACGTATGTCCACAGGGGGTATCCGTATGTTGGAGCAGAGCCTAAAGGCAGATATGGCAGATGAGTTCATTGTCCAGTTCGTCCTGGAAGCTGTAGAGAAGATTGTCCAGCAAGAGGTGGAACTGTCCACATTCACAGCAAAGTTCACTAGCTTGGGATGCCTGTTCTACTACAGGATCAGCCATGATAGCCAGGATCAGGCACTCTGGGACCACCAACAAGCAAACTTGTCATGTAGTAGCTGTCTGACAGAGGTCCTCTGTAGGCGCTGGCGGTGGGAATGTGACTCACACATTCCTGGGAAGGGGAGGGAGGAGGTGTGGGAAGCCCAGTGCCAACTAGGCCTGTGATGTGGCAATATGTGGCTCCTCTACCATGTTTCTGGATGGGGAAGAAAGTCAAAACTTATGTGAGAGGAGGAGGCAGCACAGCCACCCAGGTGTCTCTGTCCCTCCTGTCCAGCGTGGCACAGCTCAGCCCCATGTTCTCGGGCTGTGTTCCCTGGAGTGAGCTAGTCAGACGCTGGTGAAAAGGCAAGAACTGTCCTGGGCTGAAAGATGCTGCAGTACCATAACCTACTTCAGCGTGATGGCAGAAACTACAGAATGCAGGGAAGGGCAGGTGGTTTATGCTGGTCTAGGAGGGGACCAGTGGGGCTTGGCTCCCACTGCCTTGCTGAGCAGGGCCATGTGGGGCTACTGGGTGTCTCTGTGCCCTGGATTCCCTGGTGATAGCAGGGAAACCTTTTTTTTTTCAGAAAACTGGAGCTTTGCAAAGTAATTCCAAAAAATGGCAGATTTTTCTTTCTGGCATTTGTTAGCTTTCCTTTTTTGAGATACTGTAGAAACTTAAAAATATGATTGAATTCATGCATGCCTTTATTTATTGAACTATTTATGATGGGCACAGATTTCCTTAAGCCAAAAAGCCCCCTCCCTCCTCCTTACCCAGCCTTAGTAATCAGCTTCCTTGTGCTCCAGCCCACGCTAGGCTATTTTCCTCTGTCAGATCTTCGATCATTGGTTAAATTACCTAGGTGTGTGTTGGCTTTATCTTTTTTGGTGAAATCTTACAGTTTTTCAAGGCTTATTTTGCCCAAGTCCCTGTCATCCTCTTAGGTCTCCTGTACACCATGCTTCTCTCCTGGGCTGATTCTGTAAAAGGTCTAATTTCAACAAGCTGCTGCTCTCAGGGCTGAAGTCTGTACTCCAGTGCCCATGATGATCATCTGTATCCAGCAAATCTCCCAAGTTCTTCGAAGCTACAGTGAAATGCAGATGTTTGGACTCCTTTGCACATGGATGTTAAATTTTCCTTTCCACCATCCCTTTGTCAGATGCTCCCCTTCCACATTTTCTGCCTGTGTTCACTGCAGCCTACATTGCCTGCACACCTTTTGTGCCACTGTACTGTTAATAAGCATATTGGCACGGGCCCTGGTTTGCCACCAGGGTGCCCCCTCCCACACACACGCTAGCAGCTGCCTTCTGACATGTGAAGCCATGCTTCACTCAGAGTCTGTCCTGTGAGCCAGTTTTAATCTAGGATGCTCTTTCCTGTGGGTTCCCCACAGAGATCACAGGACCCTGTTTAATCCAGCTCGCTGTCGGTGTACGGTTGAGTCATAGGAGGTTTTTCTGTTGCTACATCTAATAGCACTTTGCTATCAGGAGCAGAACATCAACGCGCTTGGCTGGGAGTCGGCACTGTCACCCAGCAGCTCTGCTTGTCTGGAGGTTGTTTTGATTCTTTTCTTAGACTTCTCCCTCTCTGTGTCTTTCTCTCTAAAACATTAATTTCCTCTAATTAGAGCCTCCTTAACAATTCTTTTTTCCCCTCTCCTCAGTTAATTTCCTCTAATTAGAACCTCCTTAATAATTCTTTTGCTAAATCCATTTCCTCAGTTAGAGCCACCCGCCATAGTTTCTTTCCATCCTTTCAAAAGCTGTCGGAGTAGCTAAGCAAATTATGCTTCTGGGTAACCTTTATCTCTTATTCGGTATTTTAAAAGAACTGTAACAGGTTGGACAGGCACAATTTCCCCTTCCAGAGCTATGCCGGTCTGACCCCATTAGGTTATACTTAGCTGAGTGTTGTACTATTGTATACTTAATTAGGTGCTCTAGCTGTTCCTCTGGAACCAAGGTAAGGCTGTATTTATGAATGAATTAAACATGACACTTCATTATTCAGATCAGATTTAACAGTGACAAAATCCATCTTTAAACCAGATCAAATTGCTCTCTAAGAATACGTAAAGCCTCCTGGTCCTGTTAGCTGTCCTATGAGCCAGCCGTTCCTAACTTTTCCTCTGCAGCCATGTCAGCTTTCTTCTCGTGACAAGCCTTTTAAGTACTAATTGTTTCTAAAACATGCTGGTTTTAAAAAGATTTTTTTATGTTTGTAATTTACACAGTAAGTAACTGTTAATGGCACACTGTTTTTCACAATCATGCTGTGGGCCACATCAGCAGTTGGTATAAATGGAGAGGCAGCTGATTTACACGTTACGGACCTTGGGCCTGAGTTTCCTCATTAAGCAGTTTCTTCCCAGTTGAGACGGTATTATGCATTTCTCTTTCCCTTTAAGATGGACCATCTCACTGTGTCTGACCTTCCTGAAATCTACCAAGGACAACTCACTCTGTTTCCTGATTTTGGGAAGAAAAAGACCAAGTATTGGTGGCAGCTGAGAGGAGCCATACTGTTTTAGTGAAGTCCGTTTTTTAATGTAATTATGAAAAAA